TATGAACCTCTGTAGGGAGCTGGTGAACAGCAGCAGGCAGTCATCACGGAGGGGTTTCCAGGGCGGGATTGCAACCTTCCATATAGCCAGCTACAACTTTATTTTCTTTACCTCCCATCCCCCTCCACCCCCTCTCCCCCCTTTTTTTTTCAAGGAAAGGGAGAAAGGAGGAGGGAGGAAATATTGTATTTGCCTCCTTTACTAACCATAATTGAATTAAAGTTGTAAAATGCCTGGGAGTTTAACACTGACCGGGCAGGTTTTCAATGGCGCTTTCCCCCCCCCCCTTTGAAGAACTGTCGGTTAATGGATGAATGGATCTGATAGAGCTGAGAAGGAATATGCTAGATACATGCCTTTGAGTAAGATTTCTGCTGCCTTTATGCAGTGAAGCCTTTTGCTTTGAGTAATTCCCATCCAGTTGATGTCTGGTCAGAATTAGAGAGAGATTCGCCGAGACTTCCGATTTCTTGCTGCATGACTGCTTTTGCTGCAAGTGCTAGATTTGCAGCCTTGAACCTGATGCCACAGGAGATGTCTTGCAGTACTGAGACTTATCGTTTTTTAGAATGCGTTCCTCCAAACCAGAGTTGTGGCATGAGGATTGAAGCTCTGAGGTGGACAATGGAAGATGCAAGCCTGCTCCAAGATCCCAGCATTTAAGCCTGGATGATTTATTAGACTTCCCCTACTGACACACACAATGCATTTATTTTCCCTATTCATATCGCTTTTTAGATTAGTAGAAGTAGAAGAAAGCCACAAGGAGTCAGACTGCAAGAAGGAATGGAAATGGGATTTTTTTTCCCAGCTAGGTGAAATTCGGGTATTAAATTACTGACGTAGGTCAGTGGTAGGGTTTCCTTTCCACCCCCCCTTGGCTTTTAATCAGCCCGGGTGTCTTCTCCCCTAAAGGATGAAGAGTACTGACAGCCATCGCTGCTTATAATCAGTAACTCCGATGCTTGGAGTGTTGGCAATGAGATATTTCCATGAGACCTATTTAGATCTCTCCAGTTCTACCAGGCTAGTTTTGCAGAACGTTGGGAATAAGCGATATGTCAGATATGGCTGAGACTCTGAAGATGATCCGCATGTTTTACATTTTTCACAGATTTTGGGTGAGTGGTTAAAACATTTCCTTTAAGTGTGTGTGTGTGTATGTGTGTAAGAACTGAAGACCTCTGCTTGACAGTCAGCTCTGTTACATTGTACATAACTCATGAAGGGGGGGGGTATCATTAAATCAATTAAAATTATTTACTTGTGTAAAGATATTAAATTTCTCTCACTGAAGAGAGCTGTTAAGTGCACTGAAGTAGGAGGTTAACGTATTTAATCTCACTACCGAAGAATTCCACCACAGAAGTCATCTAGGGGGTGCATGTGTGTGTGTGTGTGATGTCTGTGTGGGTGGGTGTGTGCTTTGTAAATGTACAGATAGAAAAAAAAAAATCCATAAAAGAGTTTTAAGAAATGGGTGATGTGGAGAATGTGTCAGTATTCTCTCTGTTGCATTAAGCTGCTGTTTTCAGTACTGAGCATTTCTCCTGGATTCCTACCATGGCATTTCCACCACCGGTTAAAAATCAAGGTAGAAGGAGGGGAAGACCTTGGTGCGCTGTTCACTGGAGAGGTTCTGAAGGGAAGGGGGAGCTGGGTAATAGGGGAGGTGGGAAACCTCGTAAAATGGTGCTCCTTTTCTCTTAAATTAGAACCGTGAAACTGAACTGACAGCCATTTTATGTATATTTATTGGGCTGGTCGTGCAAAAGAATTCCAAGGAAGCATTGAAATGCACCCCACAGAAACAGAACCAGAACAATTCCTACTGTGACCTCACCTTTTTAAACACCGCAGGCATTTGACTTACGAGGAGTTGCCCATCAGCCTTTTAATCAATGCATGTCATCCAGTTTTCAAAAGTGTGGGAATTAGAAGCGACAGCAGTTTTTTCGTTTGCTTGTTTGATTAACAATCCCTTGTCTACCCCACTGAAGATACATATAAACTTTGTGTCCATTTTAAATTTTATGGGGCTGTGCTATTATGCTGCTTTCTTTTTTTTTTCTCCTTACCCTCGCAGGAAATAAAATGTACGTGTGCTGCTCTACAGTAACTTTGGAACAGGACCTCAACAAAAAAATGCATATCTGGATGCTGCAGACGATCGCATTTGCTTTAACATCGCTAGTCCTTTCGTGGGCAGAAAGCATCGAGTATTATGGGGAAATCTGTGATAATGCGTGTCCTTGTGAGGAGAAGGACAGCATCTTAACAGTGAGCTGCGAAAACAGAGGGATCATCAGCCTTTTTGAGATCAGTCCACCAAGGTTCCCTGTCTACCACCTCTTGTTGTCTGGGAACCTTTTGAACAGGCTGTACCCGAACCAGTTTGTCAATTACACAGGGGCTTCGATTTTGCATCTGGGGAGCAATGACATACAAGATATTGAAACAGGGGCCTTTCATGGTCTGAGAGGTTTAAGGAGGCTGCACCTGAATAACAACAAGCTGGAACTTTTACGAGATGACACTTTCCTTGGGCTAGAGAGTTTGGAATACCTACAGGTTGATTATAATTACATTAGCGTCATTGAACCCAATGCCTTCAGCAAACTGCATTTGCTGCAGGTGCTGATTCTCAATGATAACCTCCTCTCCAGTTTGCCCAACAACCTCTTCCGTTTTGTGCCCTTAACTCACCTGGACCTGAGGGGTAACCGGCTGAAGCTGTTGCCCTATGTGGGTCTTTTGCAGCACATGGATAAAGTGGTGGAGCTGCAGCTGGAGGAAAACCCCTGGAATTGCTCCTGCGAGTTGATTGCTCTAAAGGATTGGCTGGACAGTATCTCCTATTCTGCTCTGGTGGGAGATGTGGTTTGTGAGACCCCTTTCCGTTTACATGGTCGAGACTTGGACGAAGTCTCCAAGCAGGAGCTTTGCCCCAGGAGGCTTATCTCGGATTATGAAATGAGACCGCAGACACCACTGAGCACGACAGGGTATTTCCACACTACCCCAGCTTCAGTCAACTCCGTGGCCACTTCTTCTTCAGCTGTTTACAAATCCCCCTTGAAGCCCCCCAAAGGGACCCGCCAACCCAACAAGACGAGGGTGCGCCCCACCTCCCGCCTGCCCTCGAAAGACCTGGGATACAGCAACTACGGCCCCAGCATTGCCTACCAGACCAAATCCCCGGTGCCTTTGGAGTGCCCCACTGCCTGCACTTGCAATTTGCAGATTTCTGACCTGGGCCTCAATGTCAATTGTCAGGAGAGGAAGATTGAGAGCATATCCGAACTGCAGCCCAAACCCTATAATCCTAAGAAGATGTATCTGACAGAAAACTACATTGCTCTGGTACGCAGGGCAGATTTTGTGGATGCTACTGGGCTGGATTTGCTGCACCTGGGCAATAATCGTATCTCGGTCATTCAGGACCGGGCTTTTGGGGATTTAACGAATTTGCGAAGGCTGTACCTGAATGGGAACCGGATCGAGCGGCTGAGCCCTGAGCTCTTCTATGGGCTGCAAAGCCTGCAGTACCTCTTCCTGCAGTACAACGTCATCCGGGAGATAGAGGCAGGCACCTTTGAACCTGTCCCCAACCTTCAGCTCTTGTTTTTGAACAACAATCTGCTGAGGTCTTTGCCGGGGAACATTTTTTCTGGTCTGTCTCTCTACAGGCTGAGCCTACGGAGCAACCACTTCTCCTACCTGCCGGTGAGCGGGGTGCTGGACCAGCTGAAATCCCTGCTGCAGATCGACCTGCACGAGAACCCCTGGGACTGCACCTGCGACGTGGTGGGCATGAAGCTGTGGCTGGAGCAGCTCAACACCGGTGTCCTGGTGGATCAGGTTATCTGCGAGTCCCCTAAGAAGTTCGCCCAGAGCGACATGCGGGCCGTCCGGGCGGAGCTGCTGTGCCCCGACTACTCGGACATCGTCGTCTCCACGCCCACGCCGTCCCCGGGCCAGCTGCCGGCCAGGA